TCCTCCTCCTCCCCCATTCTCCTCCCCCATTCTCCTCGCCCTCTCCTCCTCCTCCTCCTCCTCCTCCTCCTCCTCCTCCTCCTCCTCCTCCTCATCTTCCACGGCCTCCGTCTCCGCCCGCTTCGTTACCGACGTCGTGGTCCTCTTCAGGGTCGGCGGCACCAGCCGTAAGTCCTTCGCAATAGTTGTTGTGTTTAAGTCTGGGGACAATCTGTTCTAATGTTTGACTAGTTTGGGTATGGTTTATATCTGTAACGTTTCGCCCACAATCCGCCTGCAGGGGGGCAGGCCCGACCTAACAGTACGGAAGCATTACTGATGAATGACAGCGGGAGTCAGAAATGACGAAAGCAAGACGGATTGCGGACACATAGCCTGGCCCCGAGCTCAGGCTTGGAGGTGACGGAGAGACTCAACGTCTCGGATGTGCCGAGACGGCCCTGAAGGGTGGGGGTACCTGCCTTTCCTTTTAGAGCCCGATTATTGAGCCTTGGGGGTGACCTGGCACGCACTGAAGAGATGCGAGGAATCACTCGTCGCGGTCTTACCGAAACGAGAACAGAAAACCAGGGAAAACTTGCCCCAGGACTGCAGCGAGTGGGACCCATGGAGCTCTCGATTCGCCAACAACCTGGGGTCCGAGGAGGACCGACACTCCCTCGCTAACAACCTGGGGCCACACCTGGTTTCGCAAGCCTGTAACATCGAATCCTGATAAGGAGGAGGAGGAGGAGGGGGGAGGGCGACGTGGTGTCGTCGTAATCGCAATCGTGGTCGTCGTATGGTCGTGGTGATCGTTGGTGTGATTGTCGTAATCGTCGCCGTCTCAATCGGCGTTGTCGTTGTATTCGTCTTGGTCGTAGTAATAGTCGTCGTCGGCGTGTGGTCGTCGCTGTGACCGTCGTCGTGACAATCGCAGTCGTTGTAGTTTTGTAATCGTCGCGATCGTTGTCGTCGAGGTCGTCGTGATCGTCGTCGCGGAGCTCGCAAGCTATCGGGGTGCCGACAGAAGTGTAGTCGTGTTCTCGCAGCTTTTCACCCGTATCGTGCATGTTTGCAAGCACCATTGTTGCCCGCCCCCTCCTTCGGGCCGACGTGGCCCAGACCCCCCCAAGAACTTATACTTCTACAACAAAAGTGGAATCAATGCCAGGGTTGTGGTGTACGCAAGTGCTGTGGTGCACGCAGACTTTGCGGTGTGCGCAGGCGCTGCTGTGAACGCACTGCTGTGTTGCATGCAGGCGCCGTGGTGCACCCGTGCACCGTGCAGCAGGACAGGCAGTGCGGTACGAAGTTGAAACTAAAACTCACCTAAACACAACTCGGAGGCGAACAGCACAGTCGCATCGATCCCTTGGACAAAAAACAGGCAGAGACGCGAATCCACAAACGTTAACCTCTATGCCGTCGGGGGGCGAGGTCGCGGCGCGGCCGCCGGGGCCTGGCTTCGTGTAACGTTTTGGCTCTGGAAACAATAGAGACAAAGTATTGCAGCACTCTCTACTCTGCATAGTGGATGGAGCACAGTGGCAGCAAGCAGCAGCACAGAATGATGCTCGAGGGACGGTGTGAAGGAACAACACTGCGGTGCACGTTTGCGCTGCGCTGTACACAAGCGACGTGGTGCACGCGGCTGCGGCGGTGCATACTGCGCTGCGCATTGTGGTGCATGCTGTGATGCGCACAGGCGCTACGGTGCCAAAACCACTCGGCGGGGGGGAAGACGTTACGGTATGCCCCCCCCCCGCCCTGCCCCACAACGCCCGTCATGGCCGCGAATAAGCACGTGCTCTCATAGACGGCAGAACGACCTCTCTTATCATGGGCACTGTTTGTAGCGGAGCCCTCGAGGAAACCCGCCTGCCAGGTAGGGAATCGAGCAGGGCGGGACTGCTAGGTAAACGCTGCAAAGAGTCGGGGTGAGCTCTTCTTCCCTCGGCTCGAAGCTTGCCACCGCTCGGACGCCCATTCCCCGTGCGCTGTTCGGTTTCGCGCGTATTCTGTTTTCGCGGGATGATCCAGGATGCTCGTCAATGATCCCGCCGAGGAAAAATGCACATGTCCGAGCGATGCCAAGAAAAGGGTGGGACGGAGGGAGGAGGGGAAGGAGGTCGTCGCCGGGCGCTGGTTCGCAGCTGGCACAGCGCTTGGATCGCAGCTGCGGGAGAGGAAGAGGGGGGGAGTGAGATTGTTTGGGGAGTTCGACTCCGCCTGGGATCATCCGAGAAGCACGCGCGGTAGAGAGAGGGAACAAGCGTTGTCGAAGGGCGTCCAGCAAGTGGTATAAGGTCATGGCGAATTATCATTTTGTTGATCGACGTCGGGGATCCTCAAGCAAGTCGCGACATCCAGCCGCCGCAGACGCGAGAGGTAAGGAGTCCGCATACTGCGGAAAAGGGATGACATTCACCTGCGTCCAATGGCACCAGGCTCCGTTACCAGAATCGGAACGGTGGCAATTGAGAAGATGTGAAGCATCCGCACATCTGTTTAGCGTGTTGGAGCGCGTGAGATTACCAGCAGCAGTCTGAGTGGCACTACAGCATAGATTAAGTACGCTTGTCCTCGTCGCACCTCCTTACCTTTCCTCCCCACACCAACCAGCCTCCTTAATGGTATAAGTACAGTCAACCCGTATATCAAGGACGCACGATAAGGATACAAAGGCCTCGGAAGGCCATGTCGACGCGTTGCGAGCGGAGCGCGGCCAGCGAAAGTGGCCAAGGATGGGCCGAAAGGGGAGGATGCAAGGGGAACCTTGGAAAGCTATTATCCTTACTATGCGGGTCGGCTGTACTTTCCCTCCTGAAATCCTCTTCGTCTCCTCCTCAGCCCTCGCCATCTATCTTCTCGTCGTCCACCTCGTCCTGCTTCTGTTCCTGCTCCTCGTTCTCCTCCTCCTCCACCTCCTCCTCCTCCTTCTCCTCCTCGCCCGCTAACGACGTCAACCATCGCAACAGGGAAGGGGTGGCGAAAGGAACAGCGCCAACAGCCTCGAGGGACGCGTTGGTGGCATTGGTGGCATTGGTGGCGTTGCCGGCGGCGCTGCCGTTGCCCACGGGCTTCGCCTCCCTCCCGTCCACCCTCCCCCTCTCCTCCCCCATCCCAACGCTACCCTCCCTCCCCCCTCCTCCCCCTCCTCCCTTCTCCTCCTTCCTCTCCTCTCCTCCTCCTCCTCCTCTCCTCCTCCCTCCTCCTCCTCCTCTCCTCTTCCCCTCTCCTCTCCCCTCCTCCTCCCCTCTCCCCTCTGCCCCCTCCCTCCTCCCCTCCCCTCCTCCCCCCCCCTCCCTTCCCCCCCCTCGGCCCTCCCCCTCCCTGCTCCTCCCCCCCCCCTCGGTTCCTCCCCTCCCCCCCCTCCCTACCCGCCCTCCCCCCTCCCCCCCCCCTCCTCCCGGGCAGTGCGGGCGAGGCCACGGCCGCGCTCGGCGGCCCCAGGAGCTCGCGCACTCCGGGCGCGGAGCCCTCCTGCGCCCGGGGGGTGGGCGGTTCCTCTAGCCGCAGGCGACCCGAGAAGGGGAGGGCGAGCGAGGGGAGGAGGGGGAGGGGGAGGAGGGAGGAGGGGAGGAGAGGGAAGAGGGAGAGAGGGAGGAGGAGGAGGAGGAGGAGGAGGAGGAGGAGGAGGAAGAGGAGGAGGAGGAGGAGGAGGAAGGAGTTTGAGCAGAGAGAAGAGGAGGAGGAGGTAGGAGGAGGAGGAGGAGGAGGAGGAGGAGGAGGAGTGAGGAGGAGGAGGAGGGAGGAGGAGGAAGAGGAGGGGGAGGAGGAGGAGGAGGAGGAGGAGGGAGGATGAGGAGGAGAGAGGAGGAGGAGGAGGAGGAGGAGGAGAGGAGGGGGAGGAGGAGGAGGAGGAGGAGGAGGAGGAGGAGGGAGGAGGAGGAGGAGGAGGGAGGAGGAGGAGGAGGAGGAGGAGGAGGAGGAGGAGGGAGGAGGAGGAGGAGGAGGAGGAGGAGGGAGGAGGAGGAGGAGGAGGAGGAGGAGGAGGAGGAGGTGGAGGAGGAGGAGGACGGGTCGCCTAAGCCCTTCGGAGAAACCCTCCACCGCGGGGGGGTTCTGGAAAGACCAAACAGGCGGAGCTGAACCTCTAGCCCTAGCCTCAGCCCCAGTGCCCTGTCCTGAGTCCTGGCCCAGACGCCAGGGTTCCAGCCCTAGCCCGGGCCTCCGATACTGAGCATCAGGGGAAGGTCGAAAGAGGCGACCCAGGGATGAACAAGAACATCTGCACCTCCGTGTGTCTTGAAGATTACCAAATCGTCCTCGCACGCAGTTGCGATGCTGCTTCAGGACGGCGCCTGGGCATCCCAACACAGCTCGTTCCATTTTTATGAGGAGGGATTTGGAGGCAAAGGGCGAAGCTTTTACAAACAATAGATCCACCCCCCTCCGGGCCCGGAGTTCACCCGTCCTTTCGTGTATTGTAGCGTACATGTGTCTATGATGCCTTATCGCTCATCTCAAACGAAATCACAACATCCCAGACCACGTGATACCATTCCTCCCCGTCAACCCCATCAAATGGTACAATGATAGCGCAATCGTTTAAATCAACATAGGCCTTGCAAAACAACAAAAACCAATTCAAAGAAAATCCCACGCGATCTGCCACATGCCGAAATGATTCCAAAGACGTTAGTTCCGCAACCATGCCAACATACAAGCCGCAAACACCCGATCGGCCGATCATCAAACAGATTGCAGATGATCTGTCCGCGCGCACTGTTTGGAACCATGGGGACATCATACGAGTTTAACAAATCTCGCCCAGATCCCCCATTCTCATCTCACCAAGCGGTGCATCGGCGCCGATTTAGCACGCAACCCGTGGACACACCCGTAGTACATAACACCATGCGGGCTACTTGCGCGAGGTGCAACGCGGGCGTCGAAATCATGCCAAAATCAATGGTGTCTGTCACGTTTCAAGGTAGAGCTATTCAAGCACAGATGAACACCAAATGTGTGTCAACATGAAGCCTGCAAGATCCCTTGAATGCCTACACGCGCGCATCTCCTCATAACCCTCGCCAGCACCATCGCATCGCCGCTATTGCCTTCATCGTCAACAGCCGCCTTTGCGACAATCATCAGCGCAACTACCTTCATCACCGACACGTGAACATCATCGTCGTCAACAACATCGGCGCCGTAGTGGGCCTTGCCGCTGTTCATCGCTATTATCACCACGGTTGCCGCCGTTGTCGACGTCATCGTTATTATTACCACGGTTGACATTTAATCACTGGCAAGCTTGATTACACTACATAACTTATACCATGTAGCCCGCATCCCGTAGCTTATATGTCACCAAGGCAATACCTGACTGCTTCGGGTCCACGCTAGCAAAAATACGATCCCAATGGTCAGCGTTGAAACAATTACACGGGTTGAGGGATGGGCATTTTCAAAAAGGGGCTCTCGCCTTAGCGTTGTGGATGCCATGACAAGGGGCACTCTAACAATCCGACCATTGAATTACAGATGTGTTTCAAACATGACTTGACATATTCAAAGCATGTTTGAAACATGCGTTCGATTTCTGGAAATTGGTTGGCAGCAGGCTTCCTCTCCATTATTCGACGTCCACAACCTTCGCGCCGTGCCCATTCGTTGTGCAAGCGTCGAGCAGTAACAAAGATGGCAGTCACTGCGTTTTCACAGTTGGGCTCCCGCTTGTGACTTCATCAAGCGATATACCCGGAGTTCCAGATTGGCAAGCACTTGGGGACGAGATCATTTTCAAAGGGGCTCTAGCTTGAGATCCCCGCAATCATTATAACCACGCCTTTGAAACTGTGCAATACGTACACGGGTGAAGGGCAAATCCTTGCCAAAACGGGACTGCCGTCGGACACTGCCTTAGATGTTTTAATCCTACCTCTTCGCATTTCAACTAGGAAGATGGTGGGATCCTTCACTAAACAGATTCTCGTCCGAATAGCATGCCAACCAGACCCTTGTCAGCCATGGGGAGCGCTGGAGTACTTGTAGGGACTGATAAATGGTCTTGGGATGGGAGACCGTATTGCCTCCTCATCCACGTTCTCCTCCCTCTCCTCCCCCATTGTTTGTAAAACTATGTGTTTAATGTTGGTGTGGTTCCCCCCTTCCCTCCTACTAATGCTCCTCCTCTACATCCTCGTACTCGGGTTCCTACCCTGCCTTCTCACCATGCTCATCCCCTTCTTGTTCTGATCGTACTTGCCAGAATCCCCTCACAATATCTCGATCCCCACCCTCCCTCCCTCATCCCCCCTCACTCGTCAAGTCTTCCCCCTCCTCACCCCCTCCCCGCACCATCATCATCACCACCATAATCAAGCTACTAAAACAACTCGTCCGCATGATCCCCCCACCATCAGATCCGCATTCTACATTGCAAACTAATTCACAACAACCACCCTTACCGTCACCATCACCACCAACATTTCCATCACCAGATAATTACGACTACCATCACCACCACTACTACCAACAACATCGCCAATAGCCTCATCACATCCGTCATCGTTGTCGGCGTTGCCTGTCGTCTCCGTCTCCGTCTCCGTCTCTGTCGCCCTCTGAACGGCCACGAAATGACCGAGGGGCAAGGCGGGTCGAAACCATGGAAGAGGGGGGGAGGCGAGAAGGTGCTGATGGGCGCACCGCTGTCCAGAACGGGGCCCACCTGCAGTTGGGCCGAGGGCGTCTCGTGGCGAGCACGGGGCTCGCACTGGTACAGTGGACAGGACGAACCTTGCACGAGCCACCCTTGATGCTAGGCACGGGGCCTGCATCAACACGCGACGGACGCCACAGGGACGCCGCCAGCAGCTGCGGGCACAGCAAACGCGCAACACAGAAACACACCGAAGCAACAACGAACAGCGGTGCGAAAGCTCCAAGCAGCCCAGAGGGAAACGCCACCCCTGCGAGAGCCAATTAACCAACGCTCCTCCCCTCCCTGTTCCCCCCTCTCCCTCTGTGACCTCCTCGCTAGCCCTCCCTCCACCTCCTGCCTCCGTCCGTCCCTCCTCCCCCTACACATCACCCCGCCTGGCGTCCGTTCGCACACAGCCTGCCTGCACGCTGCGGCTGGTACCGTGGCGTGGCAGCGTTTCGTGGGGCTGTGCTGACTGCGTATGCTGCTCACGTAGATTGCGTTGCCTCGCCTGCTAGTTGCTTGAATGCTGCTGTGCGCGTTGCGTTCGCTTGCTTGTAACTCGCGGTTGCGATACGCCATTGGCCTAAATCCAGCTTGGGTGCATCGTGCCCGCAGCTTGCTAGCGCGTAGCATCACCGTGCCTCCATGTGGCCGCATCAACGCTGTGTATGCCTCGCCTGAGATGGTTTGATCGGTGTGTTCCTGCATTGCCTTCAACTTGTCTTCGGCTTGCACGTCGCTTGCCTTCGGCGTTCCTCCCACCGACTTGTCTCCACATGCATTCAGCACGTTCCTTTGCTTCGCTGTCAGCTTGCCTCGTGAACCAACGTAGATCCATTTCGGGAACAAGGGGAGAACACGAGAGAGCGAGAGAAAGAAAAAGAGGTGAGGGAGCGACAGCGAGCGAGCGAAGGGAAGGGGGGAGAAAGAGAGAGAGAGAGAGAGCCAGAGCCAGAGCCAGAACCAGAGCCAGAGAGAGAGGTGGAGTTCAAACTTGTGTCGCCCCGAGTTCAGCCAGATACTGGGGTTGATCATCACGAGCTGTTGCAAATGTGTGGTGGCAGTGGGGGCTGCCCAACGGAAAAGCACGAGGGAGGACTGTCACTGAAAAGGGACTCGTCCGCTTCCCTGCTGCTCCCGCAGCGGGCCAACGGTACAGGCGCGTAGTACGGCTCGTCGAAGACAGCCAGCGCGCTGGATAT